GCTCCAAATCAATCCACAAACAAGCATGAAAATCACTACACAAATGAAATGCTTCTTTTTCATGAGATTAAATCAATCAATTCTCGCACCCAAACTAGCAAGTCTTCCAACAAAGTCGAAAAAATCCAACCAAAAGGAAAATGTTTTAAGGTTACGAAATTCAAATCAAACATTTTAATTTCTCAGATATCTTAGAAACAGCCTATGATGCTTTCCCAGATCCAAACGAAATACAAAGAGAACCTAAAGGCTTAAAGCAAAATCTTAGTGATTGAACAAATTTGGACGATGTGGGGAAAAGAAGAATACCATTGAACCCCTTCAACCGCGGCATGAATTAAATACCTGGTAAGAAGCTCGTAAACTTGAGCATTTGAGCAGGTTTCATCGAACACATGATCTGCAAATGCAAAAACGAAAAAGAAAAGTTTAATTGAACAAAATCCACACTGATAACATGGTAAATCAAAGATGAAATAGAAATGAAGATCCAGGTTTTTACCAAAAGCGTAAGAGACGTCGGAGATGGGAGTGCCGTGATGCCTGTGGAGGGAGATGCGGTTGTCCTCGACCTTCCAGTAGGTTCTGGCAGAGGTATCTTGGGAAACCGCGGTCTCACTCTCACAGCAACTCAAATCTTCTCCATTTCTCAGGGTAAGACTCATTCCTCACGAACCCAGGCTCCTGGGTTCCTTGCGAACCCGTGAGTTGGGTTCCTCGCGAACCCAAGCTCCTGGGTTCGTCGGGAACCCGCGAGCTAGGTTCCTCGTGAACCCAGGCTCCTGGGTTCCTCGCGAACCCAGGCTCTTGGGTTCGCTTGGAGGTAAAAGAAAAAAAAAGAGGGGAATTCTGGGTTTTACGAATCGTAAACGATGAAACAAGATTTAGGGATCCAGAATTTCATTCCAGTTAGATAAAAACCGAACAAATCGGTCACAACAATTAAACCCAACTGATGAAAATCAAATAAACACAGATAATTATGAAATTGAAAACGAACCTCATCTCTCAACGTAGAAAGCAAGGCGATCTTTGCAGAATCTCCAACCAGAAGCAAGATCTTCGCTTCCTTCTGCCACGGACCGAGGGAACCAAGAATTCGATAAAAACCAATCGGTAAGAAACATGGCTTAAGCTTGGAGGGTTTCTCAATACGATCAGATTGACCTCGAATTGGGAAAGATATAAGTATTACGTACTTTTGGATGGGAGATGTCAGACAGAAAGGTTGGCGAAGGGATGGCGACGGATGATGAGATCCCACATTAAGTTAGAACAATAATAAATAAAATTAAAATTTAAAATTAAAATATAAAAAGATGATATTATTAGTATAATTTTTTTATTTTATATTTTTATAT